AAAAAAAAAAAAAAAAAAAAAAAAAAAAAGAAACTGGTTGATATGATACTTTCTTCCAGTCATAGAAATACAATTTTTCCTAAAGCTACAGCCCCCAAAAGACAGAAGGCAGATATATTACTTGGGAATAAGTGGGTGGGTGTTAGCATGGGATGTGAAATCCAGGGGGATACTTTATACTGTTGATTTGGACTTAGACAATGTAATACAGATAATATAAGGTCAAAGCATGTTTTAATTTCAGTGGATTAGAAGCTCTTTACTTCCCCTGAGGTGGCAGAACAAAGGGTAGATGAAGATACTGCTGTCCCAAATCATAACTGTTTGCATTTCTTATTAAAATTTTGGCTTGCCGGATGTGGTGGCTCACGCCTGTAATCCCAGCACTTTGGGAGGCCAAGGCGGGCAGAAGGGAGGCCTAAGGTCGGGAGTTCAAGACCAGCCTGACCAACATGGAGAAATCCCGTCTCTACTAAAAATACAAAATTAGCCGGGCATGATGGCACATGCCTGTAATCCCAGCTACTTGGAAGGCTGAGGCAGGAGAATCGCTTGAACCTAGGAGGTGGAGAGAATCACTTGAACCAGTGAGCCAAGATCGCACCACTGCACTCCATCCTGGGCAACAAGAGCAAAACTCTGTCAAAGAAACAAAATTTCAGCTTACTACGCTATATGAAACCCAGAGAAAAATCGCTAGAATACTTGGTTAATATTGAAGAATATTTTAGTATCTAAATCAATGACGGTGTTTCCAGCTGTCAGAACTGCCCTGTGCAAATGTTATGCAATACACGGGAATGCATCTCAGGCTGCAGGCTTGAAGGGGCATAGGTTTTGTAAAATGTTATATGCTGGATACTGCTAATTTTGGAGGTTGCCAACCCCAGCTTCCACACACTTGATTTTATTTTTTATTTATTTTTAAAATTAAAAAAAATTTTTTTTGAGACAAGGTCACCTAGGCTAGAGTGTAGTGGCATAATCATAGCTCACTGTGCCTGAACCTCCTAGGCTCAAGTGATCCTTCTGCGTCAGCCTCCTGAGTAGGTAGGACTACCAGCTCGTGCCACTGTACCCACCTTAATATGGTTTGGCTGTGTCCCCACCCAAAATCTCCTCTTAAATTGTAATCCAAATTGTAATCTCCATGTTGGGGTGGGACCTTGTGGGAGGTAATTAGATCATGGGGGTGGTTCCTCCATGCTGTTCATGTGATAGTGACAGAGTTCAGAGTTCTTATGAGATATGGTGGGGCTTTCTTTTTTTTTGAGACAGAGTCTCTCTCTGTCACCCAGGCTGGAGTGAAATGGCACAATCCTGGCTCACTGCCATCTCTGCCTCCCAGGTTCAAGCAATTCTCTCACCTCAGCCTCTGGAGTAGCTGGGATTATAGGCACCCACCATCATGCCCGGCTAATTTTTTTTGTATTTGTGTAGAGACAGGGTTTCACCATGTTGGCCAGGCTGGCTTGAACTCCTGACCTCAGGTGATCTGCCTGCCTTGGTCCCTCAAAGCGCTGAGATTATAGGTGTGAGCCACTGCACCAAGCCTTTTTTTTTTTTTTTTTTTTTTTTTTTTTTTTTTTTTTTTTTTTTTTTTTT